TAATTTGTCTAAGGCAGATTGCTTCCTCAACAGTTCCTGGTATTGTCTTGTAACCAAGGAACCAAGGCGCCAAGGAGCCAAGTCCCAAATAGCTATTTGACAGCCTGGCTCCTTTACTTCCTTCAAGTTGATGTTGGGATTGCAGTGGCCCCAAATAACGGTAGAATAATCAGGTTAGGGGTCCTGCTACAATGGACAGTCAGTTCGAAAAGCCCAGCAGATGTTGCAGAGGAGAGAGTCGTGGGTTGTCTTCATTTAGGCTCATCTTCCGAATCAATGAGAGCATTTTTTATAGGCATTCTGGGACTTCTTTATCGGGCTTGTAACCAATCGTGACGCCTTCAATGAGACATGTCATTCTTTCACTTTAACTATTTAAATGTCTGCAGCATTTTATGTTACACTTCTTTTGAGGAGTGAATTTGTTGGGGATAATTTTTGCTTGTTTTCTTTGTTATTTTAATGCTCTTTTGAAATTTACGCCTCTTGATTTGAATATCCAGGGGATTTTGATTTAGAATTGACTAAAAAGCTTGATGTAATTGATGGATCTAATCCTGTTAATTACGATACTGACAGTTCCTTGTAGCCGATATACACATCTCCCTTCAGCATCAATCATAATTTACATTTAAAAATGCATAATAAAATGTTAATTTCATAAATTTAAGTAACACTAAATGAACTGATTTTAAAAAATGGTGTTGAAAAAACATGTTTTGGGTTTTGCTTTGTTCATGACATGACTGACTGACTGAGTATGGTTTTACGCCGCTTTTAGCAATATTCCAGCAATATCACAGCAGAAGACACCAGAAATGGACACCACACATTGTACCCATGTGGGAATCGAACCCAGCCCTTCAGAATGATGAGTGATCACTTTAACCACTAGGCTACCCCACCACCCCTTATGACATGACAAGTTTCAAATAACATTTGCGTGAGTGTGTGAGTTTGCTGTTATGCTGCTTTTAACAATATTCCAGCTATATCATGGTGGGGGACACCAGAAATGTTCTTCACATGTTGTACCCATTTGGGGAATTAAGGGCCTAGGTCTTCAGTATGACTTAGAGCTAGCCAATGCATTTTACCAATAGGCTACCCCAGCTTAACTAGGCCCAGATCTTCAATGTGACGAGCCAATGCTTAACCACTAGGCTACCCCACCGCGCTAAATAACATTTGAAATGCACACCAATACTTCTAATTTGTATTTCTTGCCTTTATGTGTTGGTGTCAGACACAAGCCTGATGAAACCTTGACATTGTATGAAATGGTATTTTACGTATGCCCTTGAATCATGATCCATTCACAAACCTACCACTCGGCGAGACATTTGAGACTCCCTTTGAAGTCTTTTGTGTTTATAGAGGTATGTACGTTTGAAAAGTCAAAGCTCGTTACAAATGCAATTTACACAAGACGAGATTGACGACAACGTTTTAACATGCAGTCAGCCGGCCAGAGACTGTAGGTAGTGGATCCTTGTTAGAAAGCAGGTGTGATATGTACAAGTAACCTGTGATGTAATTAGCTGTGTGAAATGTACGAGCAGAGCTTGCAATCACAGTGTCACAGTAACTGTCATACAGGTGAGTGGCAACTCGTTTATTTCAAGGATAGGTGTGATCGCTATGGCTGCGTGAGGTAAATATGTCATTTGTGTTTGGTCATTGACGTGATGAGAGTGATGACATTCAAAGTAGGTGTTGTCAATTTCTAAATTTAAAAAAGTAAGTGAAATTGATGACAAGACAAGATGAGTCATTTCTTGGTAGGTGTTGATGTTGGTTGTAAGATGAGTATCTCTATCTGTTAGTGTGAAAGAAGAATGTGGTCTGAAATAGAGTCCGTCTATTTCAGCTGTCATCAACCTGATCTGGGAGACAGGTGTAGATTGCGGGTTTTACAAGTTTAGTTTGTAATCTGAGTAGGAGGAGAGAAGGGTTTTGAGAAACGGAATGAAAATAAATTATTCCTGATGTTTATTTCTTGAGTTTATAGCCCTAGTTGCTGATAGTCAATGAACACATGTAGTTCAATTGCTGGGTGTTAAATTTGGAATCCTTTTTACACAAAACACATGGGCTTTGTTGATGGAGATGGGTTATTTTTTATGCATATTTTCAGACATTGATTATCTAAATTGCAGTTAGTTGTGCTACTGACTTTATCTCTTGTACAGCACCCCATTTACAAAATTATCCATCTTTTGTTGGACGGTGAAAGTTGTCAGATAGGAACTTCATGCGGAAAGATTTTACGATAGTCCAACCAAAATCAATTTCATTGGCCAGATATCCAGCTGTTACCTAATTTCTTCCCAGTTGCTGTCATAGGACTGTTTTCTCTTCCACTGAGATGCAGAGATATACTCTTGAGCCTGCCTCCCCACATGCTCACTACCTGACCCCAAACCCCCATCCCCCCACGTAACTAGGACTAGTGTCATCCTCTGTGCATCTCTCATTCACTGTATCGGTCTTGATTTTTCTTCCATCCCCTTTTCCTCTCTCTTCCACTCCTCTCTCATTCTCCCTTCTGTGAAGAACCTTTCCTCTTTACACAGCTATTCTTTCTCTCATCTGCTTCCAGGTTCAATCCCCAAGTAACTTCCTTCATTCTGTCCATCAGTCTCTCCTCTCTCTCTCACCCTTTCCCCCCTCTGTCTCTCCCCCTCTTGCTCTGTCCCCTCTTCCTCTCTCTCAACTTTTTTCCCTCCCTTTCTCTCCTTCCCACTCTGTCTCTCCCTTTTTCCCACCCTCTCTCTTTCTCACCTTTTTTTCGCTCCCTCCTCTCTCACCTTTCCCCCAAAACTCTCATCTTATTTTCCTTTCCTCTTTCTCTCTCCCTTGAACTTTCCTCTCCCTCCCACCCTCTCTTTCTCATTTTTGTTCTCTCTTTCACACTTTTTACTATCCATCTTTCTCTCCCACCCTCCCTCACTCACATTCTCTCCCACCCTCTCCTTCCCTCTCTCTTTCACTCCTATCATCTTTCTCTCCTCTCTCACTTGCTCCCTCCCACCTCTCTCTCTCTCTCTCTCACCTCATCCCTCCTACCTCAGCACCTCACCTATACGGTCCATCCCCTGAGTCCTCCTCAGTAAAGATTTGTTCTAATTTGCTTCCAAAGTGACATAGGCAATTCTCTATCTCTCCCTGATGAATGGCATCAACTTCAAGAAGTGTCTGGTGCCCATCTATAGCAGTAGTGGTGGTCCCTCCTCTGCAGACCAGCTGGAAGTAATTTCACTGACATATCACTGGGGCCATGTGGTTAATCATGATGTTGAAATAAGAACAAATGTCTCTGTTTATCTGGAGATGGGGAAGATCTGCTTCCTGTCCATATCAACCTCTGTAGCCAGCAGTTTCACGACTACCTAGTTTATATAGATGTGGATTGAAGGATTGCAGCGATAACCTCACTCAAAATGCTATGTTGATTTGATTTTATCGTCAATTTCAGCTCTTCCCTTTGACCATGTATTAGTTCAAAGATGCTGTAATTTATATCCTGTGTTTGACATGTACATTTATTTTGTAAATACATCGCTGCTTTTTTTGGAGTAGATATTTGTGATCCACAAATGGTTTCTTGATGTCTTTACCATCATAAGTCACGTGACGGATTATAGATTAGGACTGATCTCTGACAAATAAACGTTGGTCGTAAGAAGTGACTAAATAGATCAGTCGTCAGGTTCAGGGACCTGGTTAATTGTGTGTCATAGTTCCCTAGGGGTGCAGCTCACACTATCCATCACTGGATCGTCTTATCCAGACACAATAAATACAAACTGCCATCTCTCCCTCTCTCCTCTTGTAAGCAATTCGGGCTATCCCAAACTCTCTCTCTCTCTCTCTCTCTCTCTCTCTCTCTCTCTCTCTCTCTCTCTCTCTGTCTCTCTCTCTCTCTCTCTGTCTCTCTCTCTCTCTCTCTCTCTCTCTCTCTCTCTCTCTCTCTCTCTCAACTCTCTCAGTCAGTATCTCTCTCTCTCTCTCTCAACTCTCTCAGTCTGTCTCTATCTCTCTCTCTCTCTGTCAACTCTCAGTCTGTCTGTCTCTCTCTCTCTCTCTGTCTCTCTCTCTCAAACTCTCTCAGTCTGTCTGTATCTCTCTCTCTCTCAACTCTCTCAGTCTGTCTGTATCTCTCTCTTTCTCAACTCTCTCAGTCTGTCTGTATCTCTCTCTTTCTCAACTCTCTCAGTCTGACTCTCTCTCTCTCTCTGAATTTGAAGCCCACTGCATCAAGAGGACAGTTAGACCTGCAGACTGACAAGCCTTGCAAGGTTCTCTCCCTTGATTCATACAAGCAATCATTGCATGGCAAATGATGCTAAGTGAACTTAGGTTCCAGTTCCCAGTGGTTAGTTAATTGTAAGGATAGATCAGTTTCCATGGTAAAGTTAAATCTGAAAGACAAATCTACAAAACATTTATATTGTTCAATGTGCAGACATTTCAGTCACCTGTTAATACACATTCAGTGTAACTGTCTCACTAGGGATGGATTCGAGATTTCTAGTACATAAAGTATACCTTCATACATTCTTGACCTACTAAAACCCATGACTCCTGAGGCTTGAAACATACAAGCCCTCAATTACCTGACAAATTCATGGGAGGGACAGTTTAAAGTGTCATGAATCTTGGGATGTAAGAGCTGACATATTTATATTGAATGCAGAAATGAAATTCTCCAATAGGTCAATGTTTTACAGAACCAGGAGTACATTTATTTGCAAGATTAATTAAACTCTGTATGAAGGCCCCAACTGAATGGTTTCTTGCCGAGTCTGTCTACATACGACAGGCTCTCTGACAAAATGTGAGAAACAGGTCAAGGAACGCTGCTGTCAAGCGTCCAAAAGATGTAAAAATATTTACAAAATGCAAAAACAAATCCTTAAATGTGGGTGAGTATTTGTTTACATAAGATTGACACAACATACTGTGTGCAGATCCTCACTGACTTGAATCTCTTGCAGGGTCTGTCCTTGGAGAAGATCGAGGAAAAACTGCAAGTGCCTGAAAGTTTCCGCAAGTACCTGAAGCAGCTGCAGTGTGATGTCTGCGAGACCCACATCCGACAGCTGAAGCAGGAGGCCGTCGCCATGATCAAGTCCATCCAACACGCTCAGTCAACGTCCGGGGCCACTGCCAACATCCCCGCCCTCGTTGGGTCCTGCAACATCTTCCCCACCCATCAGAGGATTGGGAATGGAAGGTGGGTTCTGATTGGTTGATTTTGGTATTTCAAACTTTGCATGGATGTCTATTGGAGTGTAATTCTCAGTAAACTATGTGGCCAAGTTGTCTGTGCAACACAAACGCATGCAGAGTTACCTTCCTTGTGTATACAGGAAATCTGATCATGGGTTCGAATCCATTTTAGTATGGCGAATGTGGCATGGATATCTGTGGGAGTGTAATTCTCAGTATACTGGGGGCCCAGTTGTCTATGCTACACATACGCTATGCAGAGTTACCTACCTTATGTATGCAGGACATTTGGATCATGGGTTTGAATCCCAATTTTCCGTAATCATGTTTCTTGGTTTCTCAGAACCATATACCAATGGTTGCAGGTTTCAGCAAGGTGGTAAACATCTTATACTTATCACTTTGGGCTTTCGTTCCACATCAAGCTGACACGGGCAATATAACAAAAATGTTCCTTTTACCCAACACACCCACCAACTAGTATATATTTGTGTAGGACAGTCAGACATGTGAGGAATCAAACATTCCTAGGTTATTCCAGATCACAAATTTAGCAGAGAGGTAATCTGTGTGAATAACCTGGTTCATACTCACAAGGATTGCCAGCTAATCTGAACCAGGTCTCAATTAAGGTTAATATGATACGAAAATGATTTTTTTGTCTGTATTAATGATTAAGAGCTTCATTAAATTTTTTTAAAGTTCCTCGTTTAAGGTCAAAGTTTCATTATTTGACCTTTGGACCATTTTTTATATAAATATAAAAAAATTCAGTAAAGTTTTGTCTTTGTTAAGATGATTAATTAAGCATTACGTCATACCAAATATGATGCAACTGCCCTTGAAAGAGAATTTCAGACTTCAGAAAGCTCCAGTGCCATAGCCAATGATCTTTGACAGCAGCACCTTGAAGGGATGTTTCCTGAAATTGGCATCACCTTACTCTTTTCCATTCATCACAATTACCATGACTATTTTGCTATATACGATACGGCTTCTGTGCCAGTTACCACTAGGATCCAATTGATGCGTTCCTAAACTTCCAAAGACAATACCTGTAATACGACTCTCGATTAGAGATGCAAGATGCAGGAGTTCTTTTGTCTGCATGATTGAGATTTTTCCTGACTCTCGTTCTGTATGAGACTTGAGACTTGATGAGTTGCGATGAGAGCTCATGTAATAACTGTGTATTGTTACACAGTTAATTAGCGCTGCCTGACTGAAATGGATCTGAAACTGACTCCTGGAATCGTCTCCACTTTGTCCCTAGCTTCCACTGTCTGACTGAAAACTCCCCATCCCTAATGCATCCCTCCCAAAGCCTCAATATCAAAATTAAAAAATCTGTTTCATAGTATCAAGATTCACAATAAAAGAACACACCATTTAAGATTGAATTTGTATATATATGGGCTTTATTTAAAAAACATAACAACATTTAGTCTATTTTTTTTAATGTGTATTATGTAAATTTAACCAATTTACAAAGGAACTCTTTTGAGGTATGTGTTTCTTCTTCAGAACTGAAATTGGTTAGTTTTATGATTATTTTAAACATTACAAATCTGCTGCAAGAGGCACTGGTGTGAAGAGGAATTCTCTTTGATCTTGTTTTGTGCATATAAAGATTGTTTGGGTTAAATTATGGCCATGCTCAAATTTGTACTTTTCTGACCATCTCCTGCTAGGTCATGCCACAGAAATGCATTGAATGCTAAACAGCGGAACATGACTCCAAATGAAGGGCTTTGATTTATCATGGATTGAATGGAAGCAGTAATAGATCTCTTTCATGTGAAGGATCACCATCATTTAAATGTTGCATTAAAAACAGAAACAAACAAACTTCCATTTTTTTCCATTTTGATGCTGACGTGTAATCACATCTCATGATAAAATGTGAGAACTGATTCTTTTTGTTTGACATTTTACCATTTTTTTAGAAATTTAACTTCCATCCACAATGATTCATCTCTGAAGCTTTATTTATTAGTCTAGATGAAATATATGTGTGAGAATCTATTTGTGAATTTGTGTTTTCAGAAAAGATTGATTCTTTAATGGCATATAATTTGTGGAAGACTTTTTTTGTTACTTCAACAGAATCTTCAGGATTTTCCTTTTTTTTAAAAGAAAGGAGCAAAAAAAAATTAAAACAAACACACTCAGAAAGAAAGTGAAATCTATTTAAAGGTGTAAACTGTCTCATTCAGATGCTAGTCCACTTCATCAATGACTATACAGAAGATTATTACAAACACTGAAGCGAAGTCCCTCGTTAATTAGTTCTCGTTGAACGAGGGCTGTTTCACGGTCAGAGATCCGGTGACTATTTGCTTTTTGCCGGTCTGATGATAGTGTCATTTCACCAATACTTCCATTGTTACCGGTGGATTCATTTCTGGTGGCAGTCAACTAAATTAACATGATGCGTGTCGAAATTGTATCTGTGCCACTAGCATTGACTGTAGGCTGGTAGTTCTTTCTTCAGCCGTGATTAGGGAAGGGATTAGGAGGGTTCTACATCAAAATGGCTTTTGTTTGAAGCGAGACCTCCCTAGGGGAAGAAGTTGGGATTATGTGGGTTTTTTCTTGTTGAATTGTTTGGATGAAATTAGATTTGAAGGATATTGTCCATTTCTAACTAAGCGACCTTTGTTTTTTTTATTTGGAGTGAAATTCAGTAGTGTTGGGAAAGTGTTTTTTCTGTATCATATGACCTAAGAATTAATATTATTGTGGCCTATTATAAAGGAATAATGGGGAATGTTGTGTTTTTTCCACATTTAGCAATATCAATTACAAATGCTCTACACATGGGAAAATACACTGAGCCAGGTTCAGTCTGACAAATCAGTGCTTGATTATATGAGGAAATTATATACTGCACAAAGGAAGTTTAAGAACCCCAGATCATTTCATATACAGTAAATTAACTCAGGGACATCTAATTGTAATTAAATATAACCATAGTTCATTATACACATTTCCACTGAAATATATAGCAAGTGTTTAGGAACCCCAACACAGTTTCTTGTATATTGCTGTTAGTTCTTTATAAGAGTGTTTGATATTAGGCTTATAATATAACAACTTTTAATCATGATGTGAATAATGAATTGCCAAATGAAACAAGGACATATCAATTTTTCAATAGTTCATTATGAAGTCAGTGTGATTTGATATTACCATATATGAACCGGTATAGTTTAAACTTATAGTCTGTAACTATAGTGGCATAAAGTATTAGTTGTAGTAATCAGAAAGAACTGGGTGATCCTTAACCTCTTTTGTGTAGTATATAAAAGAATACGGTAAACCATAAGCACAAACTGTTTTTGGTCCGTCTTATGAGTGAGTGAGTATAGTTTTACACCGCTTTTAACAACATTCCAGCAATATCATGGCAGGGGAAACCAGAAATGGGCTTCACACATTGTACCGGGAATCGAACCCGGGTCTTCAGCATGACAAGCGAACACTTTTAACCACTAGGCTACCCCACCACCCCTTCCTCTTATGACATGTTTTGGGTTACTCGAGGGATATTGTATATATCACACTGAAGCTACTGCAATGTTAGAATACTTTTCTTAAAAACTGTTGTCATGGAATCACTAATGGGTTGCAGGTCAGTACAGGTCCCCAGTACCCCATGCTTGTCGTACAAGCCAACAAAATGTGTGAGTTTGGGTATTATGAGGTATGGTGAGTGAGTGAGTTGGGTTTAATAAAACTGTTTTCAGTTTTTACGTGACATGTCTGCTTAATGTGGGAGAAAGCCTGAAGTGATGCAGGTCTGGGATATTTATATTACCACTTGTGTGAAACCCTCAAGCATGGGTAGAGTACTGATATGTGTAAGGTTAATCTTGGCAGATTGGGATTTGAACCCACATTCATAGGTATCTGGCCACTTGAAGTGAGAAAAAGCGTGCATCGCCAAGCCTTTAGTAACGTGCGCTGCATTGAGGTCAATTGATCAGCTGTTGTCAACATGGCATCTCACATAAATAAAAACAAGTGGATTCGATGCGTATCCTTTTCTTTTGATTAAGTAAAAACATGCGGCTAGATAAATACGTTATCACATCGTGTTTCGGGAAATACGGGGTTTTATCAGTCCCTCGTAAGGTTATACAACCTTATAAAATGCCTCTCAAAGAAGATAACTCAGCATATTGAATTTTGTGGTACCTCAAGCCACTGGGCCACCCTGCCTCCATATAGTATGGACAGGTTGGAGCAAGGGTTCATGCTTTTAAAGGCTAGGGTTCAAACCTGTACACACATGGGGTGTGACCACGTTGCCAGGTCAGAGCTGTCTTTCGATGTAAAGCAAAGCAGTATTTAAGTATATTCAATGAAATTTCACAAAATTGACTTACCGGTTCATGATGATATTAAGCCATAGTATGAAGAAGTATATTATGAAGGCTCACGGCAAAAAGCATGGATGCAGATGGATGATGACCCAATGTCTTACAGGCCACTGTCATGCAGGTGGAACAATTATCACCGTGGCATTAATCAGCATTCACTCACTCACACAGTCACAGATGCAGCGATACATGAAATAATGTGTGTGAAGGACAGGGAGATAACTCTTGTGTAAGTTGATCTGATTAATGACATACAGTGTGATGTCTTGTGTTTGTATTTACCGGCAACAGATCATTGTTTCAGTAATGTTTGTTTCTTTGTATTTTGTTTAATGCCCCACTCAGCAACAGTCCTACTGTATAACTGTGGTATAACTGTGGTATAACTGTGGTATGTTGATCATTTAATGATAATACTAGTAGTTTGATCACTGTCACACTAAATCCCCGTAACTGACCACCCAATGTATTAAGTCTCTTCCAAACAAGAATGTTTAACAGGTGACCTATTCTAACTGCAAATGTTCATTGGATGGTGAGATCGAATGAGTTCTGTGTTGAATCCTGTTTTTATCGAAGAAATGACTATAAATTATTATTTTTTTAAATTATTACATTT